ACACATCCCTGTCTAACTCCTCTACAGATCTTCCTCTATAGTTCAATTTGTAGATTAGTCACCTTTAATTGAAAATTGTCCGACTATATTTCTCCTACATTTAGGTTTATTAATCTTCACTTCTTCTAGTTCTTTAGTCTCCACATTTTCATCAGAGACCTCTGTAAATCTAGACAATACATCATTATCACCATCAGCATTTACATAATGAGGGTCCGCATCAGAATCATCAACAATAGAAGATTGGGAGTTAAACGAATTTCCAGAAGAGTTGCGTACCAATTTAGAACTGCTACCTAAAACAAGAAAAAAATGACAAATATTAAGAAGAAATCAGCTTGTCAGGTACCTACTTAGTAAATTGGCCAATAGCTTACAACAAAACAAATAAATATTGTTTATTAAAAAAAGGGCAATTCCGTACTTATTTGCTTCGCTGTTTCGATGCACTCTGTGCATTCAGGGGTAGCATTCTCCATATTGGACTGATCATCACCTTCCTCATTGTTAGGGACATTTTCATTACTGGAAAGGAGCTCCATTTTCCATTGACTACTTACCTGTAGGGTCTTTTTTTAACTTGAACCAACGAAGTTATTGTGCTCACTCATACAGTTTAAAAATATCTAAAATTCCACTAGAAAACTAAGTTCCTGTAGCTGGCTGTATACCATATATCACAAAAAATTGTTTAAAATCCTTTATAAAAGGTATATAATAAATGCCCAAACGGGCTATCACAAACACATTGCAAAACGTTTTCGGATTGATAAATCCATCATTAGTGCAAACGGTTGTACATGCTAGTAGCCACCAAAATATATGGGTCAAAACCCTTTAAATGTTTTAAATTTGTAGTTGTTTTACATTATTAATAGTTAGAATTTGTGATGTTTAAGTTACCGTTGGATAGGTAACATGGCGGCGTATGACTCTACATAAGTAAAAATGTAAAAAAGTAAAAAATCATTTTTTACATTTTGCTTGCTATTAAGACGGTATCATCAGCATATCTGATGTTGTCTACGCTGATTCCGTTAATCTTAATTCCGCCTTGGACCTCGTCTAATGCTTCTCTGAATATAGACTCCGAATACAAAAACAGTAGCGGTGATAAGATGCAACCCTGTCTCACTCCTCGTCGGATTTGTATATCTTCCGATGTTGTGTGGTCTTAAGCTTATATAACCAATTAAAATAACTCAGATGCAATATCATGTAGGAAGTTTTTTTTATATTCGTTATGTTGGCATCTTTACACGAATTCGAAGAAAAAAAAGAACATAACGTCCTACGAACCTTAAAATCCGAATTACTCTTTTTTCAAAAATTCACCGGGGCTTTGTTTATAAATAATAAGCAATTTAAAAAGAACCATTTGAAAGGTTAAAAGTTCAAGTTTAGATAAAAAATTAAAACTATTCCTTTAAAAAATGATCCGTCTAGCATACGCCAAAAAAGGGTTTAGAAGCGAAGCGATTTTACTAGTTCAAAAACTAAATTCATGAATTCAAATTTATAAAAGTCGCAATATATCCTCGTGTTCGTGTTGTAATTGAACAAGTTTACTGTTTGTATTTTGAGAACGATTTTTTTTTTTCTTTAATTGTGGCTTATTCCCAGTTAAATAGGAATTGCAATATTCAAGAAAAATAAATTTTCTTGAATTATGCTTATTTTTACAATTACTTTTTCTCAAAATCGTAACAAAATATATTTTACACAGATTAATTGTGATACACGTTGTATAATTGAATCGGTGAGTTGAAAAAGGTACAAATTCCAAAATGTGTGGAACCAAAAAAAATGTGTTTATCTGCAAAACTAAATATGTTACAGAAAATATTTCAATGTTTCAATTATGTCAAATGAATTTGTGAAAATAATTTTAAGTTTTTATTTTTCCATTTTTCGTGCCGTTGAGTGTATATTGTTTATAAGTAAAAAATGACGTTTAATCTTTTGCGATATTTTGTTTATTCTCTACTGTTAGTACCAAATTTCTCAAAAGCAGTTGTTAGATACCTGTGTCAAAGAGTGTTACGAAAAAGTAAAAGACTTGTTAACATTTTTAGATTCACCACAACTGAAGAAGATTCATGAGAAATTCTTAGACATTGTAAAAGCAGTACCTATGAAAATAGTAACCTTCGTGGAGACCAAAGCAACAGTTGTAACTGCAATGAAATTCAATTTTTTGTTAGTAAAACCGGATTCAGGTCATCCAGGTGTAGGAGAATATTTCGAGATTCCTCAAGATCATCTTGGTATTTGCAAACCTTTAACAAAGTAAGTTTCTAGTGAGTTAAAATATTGCAAGTATAACAAATACTGACTTGTTAAAGTTTAAGTATACTGTTAATTATACTATGTTATGCTCTACTACTGCTTCTGATGGTGTCATCCCATTGTGTAAACCATGTACGGAGGTTCCTTAACTATGAGATTCTTCGTCTTCCTCTCGATCTCTTTCCTATTTTATTTACCCTACACGTATTTTATCTTACACGATTGTAGCTGAAGTAGGGCATATCCTACTCCTCTCTTCTTATTAGATGACTAAAATATTTTAACTTTCTTTCTGGATGGTAAATATCAGCTCATGTGGTTTCTGTATTTAGCTCAAGAAAGCTCAACAACCGTCTATACGTCCATATTTCAAAATCTTCTAACCCAGCGTTTCTCAAACTTATTTTTCTATGGCCCGGTTTTTTTTTGTGCTTATCCTTCGTGACCCACTATTTTTTTTTCATATCCAGGTGTGTGTGTGTGTGTGTGTGTGTGTGTGTGTGTGAGTGTGTGTGTGTGTGTGTGTGTGTGTGTGTGTGTGTGTGTGTGTGTGTGTGTATGTGTGTGTGTGTACAAGAAAACATATTTAAATATTTATTATAGTTTTATGTATTTTAATACAGAATCATTAGCTCAAACAAAAAAAAATCAATACTTTTTTAATGTATGAAGTATGGAGTTGTTTTTGGTTAACGAAAAACTTCACGGTTGGAGGAAAATATATTAATTTTATCCTCAGGTCCGTTTCAACTTCCAGACGGTTCCTATATTTATTTTTGAGAAAAACCATTGTTGAAAACCCTGCCTTACACTTATAGGTTGCAACAAAAGTAATTAGAAACTTTATCAGAAATATATTTTGTATAGGCATATCCTACTCCTCTCTTCTTATTAGATGACTAAAATATTTTAACTTTCTTTCTGGATGGTAAATATCAGCTCATGTGGTTTCTGTATTTAGCTCAAGAAAGCTTCAACAACCGTCTATACGTCCATATTTGAAAATCTTCTAAGCCAGCGTTTCTCAAACTTATTTTTCTATGGCCCCGTTTTTTTTGTGCTTATCCTTCGTGACCCACTATTTTTTTTTATATCCAGGTGTGTGTGTGTGTGTGTGTGTGTGTGTGTGTGTGTGTGTGTGTGTGTGTACAAGAAAACATATTTAAATATGTATTATAGTTTTATGTATTTTAATACAGAATCATTAGCTCAAACAAAAAAAATCAAATACTTTTTTAATGTATGAAGTATGGAGTTGTCTTTGTTTAACGAAAAACTTCACGGTTGGAGGAAAATATATTAATTTTATCTCCAGGTCCGTTTCAACTTCCAGACGGTTCCTATATTTATTTTTGAGAAAAACCAATGTTGAAAACCCTGCCTTACACTTATAGGTCGCAACCATGGACGTATAAACACAGATGGACTCAGTTATTTACATAAAAATTGTGAAGTCGAAATTATTTGAATAGGTCACATCTGAGCACCTTCAACTGTTGTCACGTTTTGTTTAAAAATTTCTTATTCGCGAGTCGCTGAAAATATTACTCCGTATTTTATACTCTACGGGTGCTATCAAACCAAAATAATAATTTATTGGTTATATTAATATATTTAATTGTAATCAAAATATCAAGTGTGCACATAGTGTGCATTATCATTTAATAATAGCGTATAATAGATATCAATCAATTATTTTATATGTAGAAGCACTGAAAACTATTTATAAATGGCAACGGTTGTTTACATTTCTCTATCTTATGGATCTACGTCAAACTTCAAATGCTGTTCCATGTTTGTTTACTTTTTACAGTAAATGAGAAAAAAGTTATTTTTCGATATTTTGGCTGTATTTTGAGTGATATTTGTGAAAAGTGAAATAAAATAAACGAAATATTTACATCCCGATCTCTCATTTCATTTGTAAGTACATACAATTTACATTATTTAAGATGAGGAAATGAGGAAGCGTGAAATAATATTGACGATCGAA